TAATACTATCTGATAGTATTACCTTTAAAGCTGTAATTGTCAACCTTTGGTGTAACAAAGAATCACCCAGCTTTAACTCAGAAATTCTGATTCATTAGGCCTAGGATTTGCTTAAACAATCAGCATTTTTTCCTGTGTACCCTAAATGATTATGATGTAGGTGCTTATATGCCACACTTTCAGAAAGAGAGTTTACAGGTTTAAGGCTATGAAGAGAAATTAGCTGTTTTGCATTTAAATATGTGAGGTTTTAGGCAGCAATGCTGTTTTGAAGCCCATAGCCTCTAGTAAGGAAGGAAAGCAACTAGGGTACTTTTTTATCAGTGTTGGAACCCATTTAGGCTCCTTTCCCATCCCAGTTTTCCCTTTCTCTAGTCCATTTTTTTGTTGTGCTATATGTTGTTCAGCCATGCGGCTATCCCTCTTTCCTTTTCTCTGATCCACCCCCGCAGCCTACTGCCATATTGACCATAATAAATAAAGTAATCTTTGTTTTTTAATGAAATTAACCTGTTTTTTATTTCTCAGTGAACTGTTTCAGCGTTAGTTGTTTTGGTTCCAGTTGTTGCTTCTTTGTTTCCCTCTCCATCCTCTTATTCCTGCGGCTTTAGGAAAAACACCCCCTTACTGATTTAGGGTGGCATTTACAGCTTTTTGAAAGCTCTTCTCTCTTGGGAAATACACTATTATTATTTGTAATATTTTTCTTTTCTTTCTTTTTTTTATGGGGGGCAGGGGCGACTTGAAGACCAGTGTGATAGTATGTACTTGTTTGAGTCTGGGAGGAAGTAACTTTTTTTAACCCTGTAATGCTTGGATATGAGTTTTGAAGCTTCTTCAGATATTTAACTGCATCTTTGATTGCATATTTGTAGGTCTGCCTAACATTCCATCTCACCTAATGGGACATTGTTCGGTATTCACTGACTTGTATAAATGAGAAGAAAAGTCCCCTCAGTTGAATTGTTTGAAGATAATCATTGCTTTCACAAATTAACCAGCATGTTTTGCTCCTTTACTTAAGAGCTGCTTTATATAAATGGTTGAAATTAAGTTAGTAATATTATTGAGTCAACTCCAGTGATTAGGACAGTTTCCAACTATCTGAACAATTTTTCTTCCATTAGTATGGAGAACCTACAAGAGAGTTTTTTGTGTCTTGTCAAATGAGCTGTATACTATAATAAAAGTGGCTGTTGAGCAATACTACACATGTCTTTTCTGGTCATGGTTCTAAGCACCTTAAGTTATTATATGAGAAAAATAACTCATTGTGTGCTATTTGCTTTGTTGACAGAGAGGGAGAAATTATGCAGATAAGCTTCAGATGTACAAATTTCTATGCAGAAACGTTTTGATTCCTTCTCTTCCAGGTATTAACATCATCCTCATTGTCAGAGCCCTCTTGCCTTCCATAGTTTGTGTGAAGATTGGTTTAACAATTTTTATATTAAAAGCTATCAAAAGTGATATATGCACACCATTCAAAATTTAATTCATAGGTCTATAATGAAAAGGAGCCTCCCTCCTCTACCCCTTCTCACTCTCAGTCCTGCTGTCCAAAGGTAACCACTGAGAGAAGTTGTTTTTATTTTTTAAGTTTGTGTTTTCATGTGATTTGTCCTCTTCCTGTGTTCTACTCTGTATATTAGAAGCTCTTCAAAGTAGCAGGCACCAGTGTGACTTTACATGCTGCAGTATCTACATGATAGATGCCCAGTCATATAGTGATCATTATGTCTGTGCTGTTACATAGTGCAATTTTAAAAATCTAAATATAATTAAAGAAAATTAGTTTCTGGGTTTAGAAAACAATCCTATAAATAGTAAAGCTATAAAATTTTATAATAAAACTATTAAAATGAAGTGATTTAACAATTTATATACATCTTATTTTTTATATCAAAATACTAAATGAGAGTTTAGTATTGTAATGGGGCAATTCATTATTTTTTCTTTAAAAATGAAATGCGCAAGTAGGAGAATATATAAAAGATATAGAGTTTAAATAAAATTGTAAAGTGTCACAACATGGGTAAACATTTTGTAATGTTATTTAAAGTTTTGCCTCATATTTATAAGTATTTTCAGAAACAACCCGTGTTAAGAAATATAGAGTATGTCTATTACCCTAGAAGGCCCCCACTCCTATTCATGTTTGTTTCCTTTAAAAAATAACTACTATCCTGACTTTTGTGATAATCTTTTCTTTATAGTTTTACCTCTTTGAACTTTATACACCTGAATCACACCATATATTCTGTAGTGACTTTGCTTCTTTCATTCAACTTTGTGACTTATCTTACTTTTCATTGCAATATAGTATTCCATTGTTTGTCTATACCAGAATGTATTTATTCTCTCTTGTTGATGGCATTAGATTATTTTCAGCTTGGGAACACTTGTACATGGTTCTCTGGAACATAAATGTAGAAGTTCTCTAGAGCAGTATCTTCACATTGAGGGATATGAAGGCTTTGCAGAGTATAGATAGTTTAATGTAATTTAGAGATCTTCATTATCTTTCCTAGGATCAGATACCTGCCAATGATGACTTCTAACCCATTCAGAATCTTTCTATGGTGTATTGCCCTGGGGTGTAAAATCCACCAGGACCCTAAACAGATGGGCAGTTGATGCATTACAGAGTAAGCTGTAGACAACAATATGTTTGACCCCTAAAACAGTTCAGTATGCTTGTCATTTCTTAACTAGAATTAAATTATTTCAAACATAATTTTGAATAAAAAATAAATTTTAATAAATACTTGTTCCCAATTACGCATATAAAAGCAAACCTACTATATTGATATACATGTAGTAAAGTTATACAAATACATAATAGGGAAGATATCAATTTTAGAATAGTTGATGAGTGGGCACTGTAGCTTATGCCTATAATTTGAGCACTTTGGAAAGCCTAAGTGGGAGGATCACTTGAGGCCAGGAATTCGAGACCAACCTGGGCAACATAGCAAGACCCTGTCTCTACAAGTAGAAAAAAAAATTTTTTTTTAAATTAGCCAGGTGTGGTGTCACACTCCTGTAGCTCCAGCTACTTCAAGAAGCTGAGGCAGGAGGATTGCTTGGGCCCAGGAGTTAATGCTGCAGTGAAATGTGATTGTACCACTGCACTTCAGCCTGGGTGACAAAACACGAACCTGTCTCTTAAAACAGAGAGAAGAAAATAAAATCAAACTTAGAATAGTCCAAGAAGGGATGAAATGAGACTGGAGAGGGATATTAGAGGAGGCTTTAACTGTAGATGACCTTTTTTTCTTAAAAACAAAACAAAAAAAACCCCAAAAAAACAGAAACAAGCTATGGTAAAATATAAAGCTAGGTGGTAGATAGATGAATCCTCTTTGGTTTAACTGTTTCATAATACTCTTTTTTTTTTCTTTTTTCTTTTTTTTTGATGGACGTCTTGCTCTGTCGCCCAGGCTGGAGAGCAGTGCACAATCTCAGCTCACTGCAACTCTGCTGCTGGGTTCAGTGATTCCCTGCTCAGCCTCCAAGTAGCTGAGATTACAGGTGCCCACCACGGCACCCAGCTAATTTTTTTTTTTTTTTTTAAGTAGGGACGAGGTTTTGCCAGGCTGGTCTTGAATTCCTGACCTCAAGTGATCCACCTACCTTGGTCTGCCCAGTGCTGGGATTACAGGTGTGAGCTGCTGCGCCTGGCCTCATAATACATTTTTATCTGTAAGCTGTAGTTTATTTTTGCCTCACATTGTAAGTATCTTGAGGAATAATATTTAATTTGACTGGTAGTAAAAGTTGACTTAAAAAAAAGTGGCAAATAAACTTTGCATCAGAGCCAGGGGCACTGAGATGCACCTGTAGTCCCAGCTACTTGGGAACTTGAGGTTGAAGGAATGCATGACCCCGGGAGTTTGAGACCTGGGCAACATAGTGAGACCCTCATCTCTCAAAAAAATGAGACCGTCGTCTCTCAAAAAAATGAAAACTCTGCATCACTTAAAAATGGGGTCAGGCACGGTGGCTCAATCAAGTCTGTAATCCCAGCGCTTTGGGAGGCCAAGGCAGCTGGATCACTTGGGCCCAGGAGTTTGAAACCAGCTTGCAAAACATGATGAAACCCTGTCTCTACTAAAAATACAAAAATAAGCCGGGCATAGTGGTGCATGACTATAGTCCCAGCCACTTGGGGAACTGAGGTGGGAGGATCACTTGAACCCAGGAGGTCAAGGCTTCAGTAAGGCATGTTCGTGCCACTATACTCCAACCTGGGCAACAAAGTAAGACCCTGTCTCAAAAAAAAAAGTTAACTGCCTATTTCAGTGAAAGGGATTGGGTAGATTCAGATGTAAGTGTTATAAGACCGTGTGTCTGTCGCAAATAACTAAGAAGATCTAGGCATACTTCTGGATGGATAAATAGTAATTTCCAGTTGAGATCCATTAACAAATTGGAGCTTTAGTTACCTAGAAGTAATTTAGTTAGGTTTCATCTTCAGAATTATCCCACATTCAAATATTTTTCAAAAACACATTTCAAAACAAAAACGTTCATAAAATAATTAGTATAGTATTAACATCCATGAATGTTTAAGTAGCTAATAGATTGTTGCATCTAACCAGATTTACTGGCATATTCAGTGTTTCATCTTGCTTCCTGATCAGTGTTTCATGTAGCTTCCTTACAATTCTTACTGTAATGATAGCAATTCCTGAATCTTTAGTGATTTTTGTTGTTACCGTTACAAACTCGTGGGCTCAATCGATCCTCTTACCTTGGCCTCCCAAAATGTTGGGATTACAGGCATGAGCCACTATGCTTGGCCCAAAGCATGTATATTTAACACCATTATTTTTAATCAAGGAAAAATTCCCAGAGAGTTTTTTTTCAGTATGCTATTCTGAGAAAAGACTCCTTTAAAGGGGCATATAATAAATAATAATATCCTATAAGTAAAAAACATATATTGATAAATATGACCTAGGAAAACAAAAGCTCTTTGTGGTCCTCAATAAATTTTAAGAACATAAAGGGATCTTGACACCAAAAAGTTTGAGAACTGCTGCATTATTGCAACTAGTAATTTAAATATCATTCTTAGAGTTTTACATTATTAAATTGAAGTTAAACAAACACAAGCTTTCTAAACCAAACAACTAGAGTAAAAACATTAATTTGAAGTTTTTTTTTTCCCAATGAGAAAAATCATAGACTGTCACCTTTACCATTTATTTACTTGTGTCTCCTAGCCCTTTCCACAAAGAATAACCAATTCTTTAAAATTGGGAAGTATATTAAATTATTACCTTTAAAATTAAAATATATTAAACTTTGTAGCAAAGGAATGCAAATTAAAGTCAAATAACCCCCCTGTGTTTTTATCCATCATATTGACAATAGTTTAAGTATTGTGGGTCGTTGCAAATGACATTAAATGTCCATGCAGGTGTTCTGTTGCTAACAGTATAAACTGAAAAAATCTTCTGCAGGACAGTTGGCATTATGATGTCAAATGCTTGGAAAGTCTATGTTTCTTTTGATAGAATTCAGTTCTTGGTAGAAAATTTAAGGATGGGACCAAAGATTCAGTTATAAGGATATTTGAATCATATCCTGTGATTGTGTAGCAGTTCTCAAACCTTACACTTTTTTTTCCCCCAAGCTTCATGCTCTTTGTATCATCTTTATACTATTAAAATTGAGGCTCCCAAAGAGCTTTGGTTCATGTGGGTTACATTTACCAATATTAACCAGTGTTAGAAATTAAAACAGAAACTTGAAAAATATTAATGTATTTATTTACAAATAATACGCCCATTACATGTTAACATAATTATTGTTATGAAGGACAAGTTTGAGCCAGGTACAGTGACCCAAGCCCAGCTACTTGAGAACCTGAGGCAGGAGGATTGTTTGAGCCCAGGAGTTCAAGTCCAACCTGGGCAACATAGCAGGACCCTGTTTTTTTTGAAAAAACACAGTGCAAAAAAAGACAAATACGTTTTCCAAAACAAAAGCTGTACCGAGAAGGGTGTAAATCTTTTATCTTTGACTTCACAGAAGACAGCTATATTCTCATATCTGCTTTTGCATGAAATCTGTTAGAATATGTTGCTTTAGTTGAAGAATATGAAGAAAATTCGGCCTCACACAGATGTCTAGTTGCAAAAAGTAGATGTATTTTAATGTCCACTTCAGATAATTGTGGATATTCTTTGATACTACACCAAAGCTCATCAACAAATGCTAGTTTTTTAAAGGTTAGAACAATGGGATTCTGAAAACCTATGAATGAACTTTTTGTCCCCTGTAACATTAACATCCATGGGTCTGTCTTGTACTTTGAATGGATTGATTTTTTTTTTAACCTAAGCAAGATTTTGTAACATCATGCATGAGTCATTTGTGTATTGCAAATGTTGACATAGTATCAGAATCACACCAGTCTCATCGGAAAAGCCTTTTAAATGCATTGAGAAGCCAACAGAGTCAAAGCAGTAGATACAAGTTTTCTAAAATTCTGATTTTCAATTGAAAGCTTGCATTTTATAATTGGTGACAATTGCTGTTGTTTTCCTTGACGTGATGGGCATGCTTTATTCAGTTTTGGAAAAATTTCTGCCAGATATCCAATTCTGAATAATAATTAGTTCTTTTAAGTAAAATTACATTCATGAAAGCAGCAGCTAGTTTTAAGCTCACACGTCGAAGAATAATAGCATAAATGCTTTTTCTCAAGACAACAATGCTATTTCTGTTTATGCCAGAAGTAGTACTTTATTTGTACCTCCCATTTTATCACTCAGAATATTAAAAACATGTATTTAATGGTTGAGATTCAAGAAAATAGTTTTTACTCTTCTTCAAAGACATTCTTAAGTGAAGTCACCTTTTTAAAATGTGAGTGCCCAGTGGTAAGGAGTAGACTCGTGGCTTGATGGTGCAGCCTTGGTCAGGGCAGAGACATTTGCAGTTTCATCCTCTTTTGCTTTTGCATCATCAGGGCAAGTGTCAACACAGTGGAAAAGCCGAATAATACCTTGCCATCATTATGAAAAGAGTTGTGACCTCAGGAGCCCCCTGAAAGGGTCTCTGGATCCTTTGTGGGTCTGAGGATTACATTTTGTGAATCACTGTTAATAGAGCAACATTAGAAACAATACAAATGTCTAAAAATTAGGGGTGGATTAAATAAATGTTATATGGCAGAAATATAATTTTATTAAAGTTTATGTTAAATATAAGGTTATAACACAATATTTTTCTGTTTTTGGCACCTCTCTAATGAGGAAATCAGCATTCTTCAAAGAAAATAAAGGCGTTGGTTCTGAGCCTCAGTGCTTCCATTTAGTTGATGCCTTTGTGATTAAGAAAAGGGAAGTTGAAAGGCAGAAGGTGGCAGTTACTGTCTTCTCCAGTAGGCTAAGGGATGTTTGTACAGCAATTTTATTTTTACAGTAAAAGGAATTGGCAGTGGTATCAATCATTTTTAGATACTTTATAATAATAATAATATGTGGAATGTGCCTTCGAATGAAATTCCTCCAGTAGACTCAATTTCTCTTTAGGCATTTTCTGATTTACATTTTCCCGTTGTGTTCTTAATTGAGAGAGCTTTCAGTTGCTGCATATTATTTAGCTTCAGACTGAATTAAAGAAATGAGTTATAAGCAGGTTAGAAGGCTACTGTTGAGTCCCTTGGGCTTCCTGCTAAGACCTCCACACAGGGCGTTCCTGAGGTGTATTATCTGTGCTCTGCAGCAGGGAGGAACCCTTTTTGTGAGCGGCATCATTGAAGATTGGCTGCTTTGTGCATTTGAGGTATTTCTCTTTGTTATAATGGAAGCCTAATAATAATCATGACTTGTCTTGAGTAAGGTTTAATATTTTCCTAAGTACCAAGTTCTAGGGAGGGTTTGATGTTTAAAATTCCTTTCCAAATAGCCATTGTGTTTATTCAAAATTGTATGTCTTAGATAAACTTGTTAAAGTGTGCTGGAAGAATATATACAGCATGCTGTGTATATAAAGTTTTAAAATATACTATACAAAATGTATGTACTAAATTATAAGGAAAAATAAGATGTTAGATTTAAGTTTGAATAATTCATTGGAATTAATGTTACATGTGTTTTAGTTTGAAGGGCTACTTAAAAAGTTTGTATTTAGACATATGGTATATTGTGTAAATTATTTTATTCAAAATGTTTTCGTTGCAAACTGAACATCGTGCCTGATCCTTTTGATCTGTAGATCAGAGAAAAACTTGCGTATTGTTATAGGATAATTTACAACCTTTTAGTCTTAAGAATAAACTGAAAGGAAGATGTAATGCTTATCTGCCCTTGGTAGAACAGAACAGTTACACATGGTTAACTGTGTTTGATTGTTGGGTAGGTGATGGACACTAGGTTCTCCGCAGCTGCTCTGAGACTCCCCCACTCCCTCCTCGTCCCACCCGCTGCCCCCCCCGAACCCTTAGGGTTATTTCACTAAGCATCAGAGCCAGAGGATAGGGGAGGGGAGCTAATGTGTAAGGAAATGGATGTTCTTCTTCCTTCATTTTTCCTTCATGGTTCATGGAGCACTTACTCCTTATTCCCTAGATACTGGGGACAATTTAGCTAATACATTCACCAGTGAGAGCAGAGATATACTAAAGATGTGCTAGGAAGGCACTAATAACTCTTAGACTCCTATAAAGAATGAGCTAGATCCTTCTGGTTGAAAAATACTGGGTAAAAATGAAATTGTTTTTCAAAGCCACTCATTTAAGAAATGTTACTTCAGGAGTCTACTACCATGCTTACAGGTGATTATTAGGTATATGTTAAGTTCTGTTTAGGGAAGAGAGGTCACAGGAAGCTCAAGATGGACTTCTATGCAGTAAAATATGAAGAGTGGTTTTGGACATTGACCTAGAATGGAATAGCACTAAACCCTGGTGGAATTGTAATTGTGGCAACTTATGCTTATTATAGCATAAGTAAATATTGACCAGTATGAATGGATAAGATGGCTGCATTTTGCCCAAGTTTATGATACAGAATATGAATCATATGAGTAATGAATTGAATTCATTCTTAAGGATTATTAATTTGGGAGGCAGCTTGGCATGATGAAAAATGCGCACCCCTTAGTTATAATTAACTGGAAGTTTGGTTAACATGACTTGAAGCAGGCAGGATTCACCTATGGAGAACAGAGTTCTATTTGGTTGTATATAGTTGAATATATATGAGTAAATAACATGAGCCAAGTTTGGGATATACAGGAAGTGAGAAGGGAGTAGAGATAGTTTGGTTGGGGGTTACAAATTGTAATCCAGGAGAGTGCTGATAAGAAGCCATGGTAAAAATGACCGAAGATGAAAGATGCAAGGTATCAGTCCTGCTTTGTTGATAGTCAGTTGCTTAAAGGTTTTTTTGTTTCTTTGTGGTAGTTTTTTTTTTTTTTTGATAGGTATAGCAGGGGTTGTGGGGGGTCATATATCAAGGTGGTCAAGTGTTACTCGTGTAAACAGTTGGGTAAAATAGTTTAAGGGCCTGTTCTGTTGTTTAGACACTTGGTTTTTTACTCAGTCATTGTGGTTTTCAAATCTTAATTTGTGTGGTGTTTGCTCCTAAGAATACTTCTTCAGAAGACTATAAATGAGTCTTTGCATGCATATTGAATCTTAGATCCCAAGACCAAAATACTTTTTTATTGGCTCTGTTTGTATAAACACTCTTCACCATTTATATGTTTCTGCTACTGTACTTTGATATATTTTCACACAAACTATTGGACTATTTATAAAACAAGACATAAAGATGTAACAGAGAAGGGAGGAAATACTTGACATTTGTGTGCCATATCTTACTCTCTGCTTCCTGTCAGTTAAACCACGATGAGAGGAACAGAGACACAGATGTACAATTGCTGCTTTAATTTGCCACTGGGGAGACCAGTTAAGCATAAAGCTAGTTTCATTAAACTTCTGTCACTTGTTGATTCGAAGGACATTGTAGGCTTCTTTGGTACTATATGGATTGTATGCATCATGTGGTGGCAATTAGATGTTTACTACAGCACCTAGTAGGAACATATATCTTTTACATATTTAAAAGGTATTTACTTTTGTGACATTTTTTAGGCAATAAAAAATTGGCATTTGAATTCATATATATGGCATAAATTCACTGTGAAATGTTAGGCTAATATTTTGATCTTGAAATTTTAGTATCTAATTATTAACTTTTATGTATTAGTATATCAGGATTCTGTAAAACTTTCAAAGCATTTTGTAGCTTACAAAGTAAATTCTTACTTGGTACAACTTCAAGATGAAAAATGAAATGGAAAGTTATAGAGGTTGACTTACCTAAGAAAATACAGTTAGTAAATGGCATTCAACTACAACTTGAATGCAGGTGGTCTGATGCTAGATCCTGTATCCCTAATGTTAGGGAAAAGGTTTGTTTTCATTAAATTACTATTCTACCTAATTCTCAGTGATTTTAACTTTTAGGGTCACCTTTGCTTATTTTTCCTAGAATATCCCCTACCCCCTTTCCTCTCATGTTCTCTCCTTGGAAAAAATAGATGTTACTTATTTCTAAAGAAATAGCCCACATGTCACTTATGAAGTTTTTTCAGGTTCTCACAGGTATTTACCCCTCTCTATTCTATCATCTTTTGGTTGACTTGTTTATTTACATTGTTTTGTAGTTATCTGTTTACATTTTTTCTTTTTAGATGTTGAACCACTTTGGGACAAGGATCATATCTTATTTGTCTTTATTTTTGTATACCCAGTAAATAGCATATAGTAGATTTCATAAATACTTGTTGGGGGAATAAGTATGTACCTGATATTTATTTTCTTTTTTCTAGAATCATAAGCTGGTTAAATAACTATAATGTGGATCTTTTCTACAAGTTGCCTTTGTGGTTTATTTCTAAGATAATTTTATTTTAAAAGTTATTTCCTACTTGAGCTCCACCCACCCCCAGTTCGTTTTTACTGTTTATGGAAATGAGATATCCTAGTGAAATTATTAGTGTTTTCATCCTAGTTAAAAGTGGAGATAACATATTGGTCCATTAAAAAATGTAGCTGAAGAGCTTAATTATTTTAGATTGCTAAGCATCAAAAATCTCTTACTTTTGGCTTTAATCTGGAAAAAATGTCTAGCCCTTCATTGTGGTCCTGATATCTCCACTGAATAAATGGGAATAATAATTCTCTTTATTACTTTTTGCCTTTCCCTGTATTATTTTCTGTTGTCACCAAGTTTTTTTGCCTCAGTGATTGGAGGGTTATAAATTGCAGTTGTCTTGTCAACAGAGCAATACATTTCGCAAATAGAACTTTAGCTTAGATCTGGCCATTCTAGGAATGTCTTATAAAGTTTTTTTTTTTGTTTGTTTGTTTTTTTTTGAGGCGGAGTCTCGCTCTGCCGCCCAGGTTGGAGTGCCGTGGCCGGATCTCAGCTCACTGCAAGCTCCGCCTCCCGGGTTTACGCCATTCTCCCGTCTCAGCCTCCCGAGTAGCTGGGACTACAGGCACCCGCCACCTCGCCCGGCTAGTTTTTTGTATTTTTTAGTAGAGACGGGGTTTCACCGTGTTAGCCAGGATGGTCTCGATCTCCTGACCTCGTGATCCGCCCGTCTCGGCCTCCCAAAGTGCTGGGATTACAGGCTTGAGCCACCGCGCCCGGCCAAAGTTTATATATTAACAGTTTTTCTAGCCGAAAATTGATAGAAGTTACTATATCTTTTTAAACAATAAATCTAAATGATCAAAGTCAGATTTAAGGATTTAACTTTTAAAGATTGAAGGAAAAATTATGAAGCTATATGAGTTTAATTTTTAAGGAGTTTTAGAAGAACCAAATAGTTATTTTGTTTATTAAAACTTAGGTAGACATGTGGAAAATAGTTTATAGGGTTTTTGAGTGTCCTTTTAATGTGAGACCTCCCTTTTTTGTGCTGTTTGTTGGGGGGTGTTGATGAATTTCTGAGTTTGAATCAGAAAAATACATGTTATGTATGTCCCTTTGAGGATAGTCAGTGAAGCTTGGCTTACCACCAGTTGGTTCTGGGAAGCGCATGCATGCATCATGTGAAACTCTATAGAATGCTAAAACAAACATATGAAAACACTAATCTTTTACTGTCTCAATGAAGAATTTTAGTAAGTAAAAATTAAGAAAATAAAATGTCCTTTGATCTTGACCTAGCTTGACTTTTTAACACACACTGTACTTTTAAATTGTGTTTATTAATAACATATAGAAAAATTTATTATGTCTTTTGTTTTCAAGTAGCTTATAATCTTTAGAGAGAGGACATAGTAAATAATTACTGAATTACATGAGAGAATGAACTTTGCCCACTTCTGCTATAGCATACATATTACTGTGATTTGCATTTGCTTAGTTGATAAATTGTGATCATCTGTAGGGAAAGTCTTCTTTGCTACTTGTTGCTTTCCTACCCTTTTCCCTTACCCACAAGTGCCTGGCAGATAGGTCCCTAAAGAGTGCTTGTCCAAAAGAATATAGACAACACTGATAAATTGATTGATTGATTGATTGATTGATTCGAGATGGGACTTGCCTTTTTTTTTTCTTTTTAGATAAGATCTTGCTCTGTGGAGTGTAGTGGCGGCATCATGGCTCTCACCTCAGCCTCCAAAGTAGCTGGGACCACCAGCTCATGCCACCATGCCCATCTAATTTTTAATTTGTGTAGAGATGGGTTCTTGCCTTGTTGCTCAGGCTGGTCTTGAACTCCTGGCCTCAGATGATCTACCCACCTTGGCCTCCCAAAGTGCT